TATTATGGATTGGTGAGGCCGCCAAGACCTACAGTTTGATACAACTGGCATAGTTGTAGGTGTTGTGGTTACCGAGATGAATCGAGTCGCTAAATTACACCAGACCAAGCACAATACTCGTTCTCCCACCTCCAAGAGGGAAGTGAGAGTGGAGGTAAAGAACGAGTAAAAAGGCGGGATTTCGATGTTCGCTAAACGCGCCGATAGAGCGGTGGAAACGTATCTGTGATCAAACTGTAAGTACACGATTTTCATCGCCTCGTTGCATTTTTCTTTGTGTTAGTATAATACGACGAAGTCTCTCTGCAAAGCTCTGTAAGCTCAGTCAACAAAAGGCTTTCCGCTATTTGCTCGGGGTGCCGTAGGGTCGCCCTGCGCATGCGCGGCGGCTACGTACATGTTTGCTTTACTCTCGTTAATCAAACAAAAAGGGCAACAGACTCGCTCCTATTGGGCGTTCATGACTAAAGGGTGCTTGCGCTCTGGCATCATACTTCAAGAATAAACTCTCAGCTCAAGGTCAAAACTGAGCTAAGCTCAAATCAAATATGGCAAAGTAATGTGTGCAAACATTCCACGTGTATCATCCCTGTTCCTTGTACCGGTACTGCGCATTTGTACGTTGTGACGTTTGTTACTTCATAAACGTGTGTTTTTCTCACTTAAAACTTTTTTCCCTGTTGTATTTTGTTTTTATCTCTCCCGATGTGGAATTCCCAAACAAGATCACCCTCGCGCGATCTCAGCCGTGACGGTGCGCCTAGGGCCCCTAGGGGGTGCCGCTGCCGCCCGCGGCCCTCCGCCCCGCCGAGCAGCCGAGCACGGGGCCGGGCTAATGCGCACCCGCGACGGACGAAAATCTTCCTCTCTAGGGCGCCGCCAAGGACCACGTTTTGCGTGGCGCTGCGTAGGCGGGGGGCGGCGGCGGGAGCCGTCGTGGCAATTTCCATACGAGTCGTCAACAAAAACGGGAAGAAAACTCCTCCTGCATGTACGTAATCCCTTCTCAGGGTAAATATAGCGCGACAACACAATAGGGGGGGCCTTGCGGCCGATAGGAGCGACATCCGCGAAAGGAGAAGTCGTCCGCAGGAGAGGCAGGGGCACTGCGGGATCGACGTTTTATTCGGCAAGCCCTCGCACACACATGTCCTGCCTGGCAACGAGCCGCGAAGGTTTGTTTATGTAAACTTTCTTGATAGTGGCGCGACAAGGGGCCGCCCTGTCGGCGGCCGCGAGGCTGTCACGCGACGCACGCCTGTGAGTTCGTCTACTGCAATAGTATGTGTAATGTGGGTAACTGTCTACCGCTCCCGAAATTATCTCACCTTGGGCTGGGCCGAACGTCCCCCCTCCCTCCTCCCAATCCCAACCTCGCTCGTCGAGCAGGGAGAGTCGCACGCGATGAACATTCCTGCTCTCAAGAGCGGAGAGGCTGTACTAGCAATATACTTGTCGGCATCTTTTAGTGCGAAATCGATCGAAATTCGTCATGTTTAGCTGCGGCTGCAACTGGCTGCCCCGGGCGCGGTGTGCGCCAGAGCCGTGCGTGGCCGTGCGCTGACCCACGCTCGCCTGGCCCTCGCCGACGTCACGCTGCACCGCGGGTTTTGCCGGCCGGCCGGGCCTGGCCACGGTCTCGTACTCGGAGCACAAACACCTCCTCAGGGCGGGGTCCGTTGCTTCTGAGGAGGCGCCCAGCATTCATCCCGGCCGGCAGAGGGAGAGAGAGAGAGGGAGCTGGAGAGGGGGGGGGGGAGGAGTGATTGACGCGTTTCTGCCTCCGGAGCCACGAAATTGGAGGTGCGCCGCTTGGCCGGGCGGTGCGCACTTCGCACTTGTGCACCGAGGGGGAGGGGGAGGGGCATGGCGTCATCGGGGTGGTTCCGCGCTATAAACCCCCTCGTCGTACACGCGCGCACACATACGGGGAGGCACTCACACACATGCACACACACGCACACACACACACACGCTGGCAACACAAAGGCCGTCTAGAGCCTTCGGGCGCCCCTCGCCTGCGGCGGACGCGCGGGCCCGGCCGCCCCTGCCGCGGCCGCGACATGACGGGGCACGGCGTGGCCGCCGCGGCCCGCGGTCCACCGCGGGCGCGGTGCAGCAGCCGCGCGGTCCGGCGGGCGGGCCCGTCGCATTGCCACTGCGATCGGTATAGTGGTCGGTCACTGGGCTCCGGCTCCGGCCGCGTTTTAGTGGTGGATAACGCTCGCCGACACGATCGCGCCTTCTCTTGAGCGCGCGCGCGCACGCACACACCACTTACTCTCACAATATCTCGCACCACCCGGGTCCCCGCCCCGCCCCGCCCGCCGCACGCCCTGCGGTACGCCCCCTTGTCGCGCGCGTGTCGAGGCCCGGGCCCGGCCGGCGGCGTCCCTTTCCCCGCGCGGTCGGCGGCGGGTGCGTCAGCGCGTCGTGTCGGGGGAGGATCACGTGGCCCGGCGGGATGCGTCGCTCCCGGTGATAAGCACTGACCGCCGGGGCTGCGGCAGCAGGAGCGCGTCGACCGGCGCAGGAGAGTGAGCGCCCTGAGCACCAGAGCAGAGCACCGCGCCGCAGCCCGAGCTACCCCAGGCCCGGCGACAGCAGCGGCGGCGACCCACGCACCAGTCGCTCCGAGACACACAAGGCGCCAGCATGGGCGACGTCGAGAAGGGCAAGGCCGCGGACCTGGCCGCCCAGAGGGCCAGGAGCTCGTCCGAGTTCCACCGGCACTCCCCGCTGCCCGTGGGGCCCAAGAACCTGCGCTGCGTCATGCCGCAGGTTAGCAGTTTGTTGTTGTCGTGGCCCGCGGAGGGTAGTGTTGTTGGAGACCCTGGCGCTAACGTGTGTGTGCGTGATGTGCAGATCGTGGCCTCCATCGTGGCCGGCCTCTTCAACATCCCGGAGGGCTTGGCGCTGGCCTACTCGTCTGGGCTGATTCCCAGCCTCATGTCTGGAGACCCCGACGACGGCGAGATCCACATCACCCTGGAGCAGGGCGTGCTCATCGGTAAGCTGCTCGACGCCGACCCCGCGGCCGCTGTCCCCATATGTGTGCCATCATGGCCCAATAGGGTGATAGGTGCATCGCGCCCGCAACTTAAGGATGTGGTGATGTGTTTCAGCCAGCGTGATGGTGGTCGCCATGTGCCTCGGCACGTTCCTCACGGGTTTCGTGATGAACCGCTTCGGGCGTCTCAACACCATCCGCTACAGCTCCCTGCCGTTCGCCATCGGCTGGTTCCTCGTGGCCTCCGCCTCCTCCTACGAGATGATCCTCATCGGGCGCATCCTCACCGGCATCGCCAACCGTAAGTGTCAAAGGATCCTTTCATCAAGTTTTTTAAAAAATGCGTTATTTTTATTTTGCTCTTGTGCATGTTAGCCTGAATCGGATAAATAAAAGTGTTAGAATTTTGAATACCCACTCAAAGAAGCGGTGTTTAGCCAAAACTAAGATATCCTTCGTAGCTACAACAGCATGAAGCCGTGCGGGTGGGCTTGCCTACCCCCCCCCCCCCCCCCGGCACCTTGAGGCCCCTTGCGAGTAGGCAACGCGTCTGCACGCCTGCATGCGGTGCAGTAGTATAACTAAACTGCACTCCGGTTTCTGTTGGCCACCCTCCTGCACTATTTCGGTCGACTTCAGCCGACGTTTTTTTGCGCGGGTATCCTACACAATGGCCTTTTTATCCGCCCACTTTTAGCTGATAACAAGAAAAGTTAGCACCGACAAAAAAAAATGAATATTATTGCGTTTGAAATCGCATTTAGAAAAATAGAAGAGTTGATGCTATTGGCAAAATGGTTCTTTTGCCGCTTGAAGCTAGTGGTGCTTTAATTAAAGTATTGACATTCATGAGAAAAAAAATGAAAAAGTTTGTGTTATCAGAAAAACTGTAACGATGTAACGTGCTTTCTTCCGAAAATATTTTTAAAACACCGCTCTATATTTTCTCCAGCGCTGGGTGTCAATTCGGCCGTGGCCTTCATCACGGAGGTGGCCAACCCGCACATCCGCGGTGCGCTCAACAGCGCCATGACGGTCCTCGCGTCGTTAGGTGAGTTGTGCAGCGCGTGCCATGGGTCTTGTGTACAAACTCGAACACGAGTCGGCTGACTATCTGGTGTTTGCCGTCGAGGAGATCATCCCGCACGAGGTGCAGTGAGTAAACGATCTCGTGCACTTTTTTGCAGGCATGGTGATCATGTACGTCCTGGGCGCCTCCATGCACTGGAGGACGGCGGCCTGGTTCTGCGGCGCCTCGCCCTTCATCGGCGTCCTGCTCATGTATTTCTTCTGCTACGAGAGCCCCATTTGGCTCGTCTCCAAGGGGAGGCACGAGGAGGCCGGGCGCTCGCTGCGGGCCTACGCACGCTGCAATCCCACCGAGGAGCTTAGGGTAGGTACCGACTGACACGTGACGTCAGAGCAAAGAGACAGCGCACGCAAGGGGATATCTGAGTTTGGGCAGGTGACCTCGGGTGACCTCTCTTTCACCCGTGGTTGTTAATAGCTATTTAGGTAGTGAAGTCTCCTTGGAATGTTAAGGTGGGTTCAAGTTGACTCCACAAGTCAATTTTTAGGCTCTGTCTATACAGCGCCGATTAGAAAACACGGGTGCTATGCGCGGGACAACTGAACGCCGGGCCCGGCGTCGTCTGCAACACTAACTTGAATATTTTTCCCCTGCGCAGGAGAAGCTCCCGGAGCGACAGCTGGAGTGGCTGATCCTGAAGAAGGAACACGCCGAGTCGCAGGCCGCCGGCAAGGATCCCTGGTACTCCACCGTGCTGGACCTGTTCAGGACGCCGACGGGATACAAACCGCTCCTCCTGCTCACCGCCGTGTTCCTGGCGCAGAACTTCAGCGGCGTGTACATCACCCTGTTCTACGCCACCACCTTCTTCCAAGTAAGTGGTCCTGCGATAGATGAACCCTCTGCCCCCCACCCCACCCTCCCGGATTACTTTCCCGGTTACTGATTACTTTCCCTCTCTGTCTCCCAGGAAATGGGCGTGACGTTCAGCGCGTTCCAGGCCGCCATCTTCATCGGCCTGACTCGGCTGGTGGTGGGCATCCTGGCCATCGGTCTGATCCGGGGGGTGGGCATCCGCAAGCTGATGGTGGGCTCGTCCTTCGGCATGGCCGTGTGCATGGTGCTGTCCGGCTACTTCACGCTCTACAAGGAGAAGTCCATGGGCGGCTTCGTGCCCGTCGGCTTCGTCCTCCTGTACGTCGCCTTCTCCTGCTGCGGCCTGCTCACCGTGCCCTGGACCATGACGGCCGAGCTGTTCCCGGACCGGCTGCGCGACGTCGGCCAGTCCTTCACCATTTTCATCGCCGACATGCTCATGTTCGCCGGCCTGCAGCTCTACCCGACCCTTATGGACGTGCTGAGTAAGTACCTCGCTCGCCAAAGAATGCAGCTTTGACCAGAACGTGCGAATGGTATCTCATATTCGACTTCTGTTTTCGTTCTAACAGGGTACGGCGAGATCACGGGCTCCGTGGGTATCCAGTGGTTCTTTGCCGTGGTGGCGCTCCTCAACGTCGTCCTGGTCATCTTCTTCTTGCCCGAGACGCACGGCAAGTCCCTGTCGGAGCTCGAGGAGCACTACGAGCACAACATGATGTGGCTCGGCCGCACCAAGCCCGACCGACTCGACAAGCTCCACGACGCGTCCGTCGTCGTGCCCACGATCTGCGCCAGCGTGGACGCCGACGGCGTCACCGTGCTCAGCACGGTCCTCGCCGTGCCCGACGCGAGGAACGCCACGGTCCTCTCGAGCGGCGACAGCTACAGGCTGTCTCCCACCAGTGCCTGAGGGAGGTTCAAGTCAAGCAGCCCCTACCTGGGCGACCCGGCGCCCGGCTCCTCCTTAACACGTTCAGTGCGGCGTGACCCACACCGTGGGTCCCATTCACATGGGATTGCCTACCCCGCCGCACTCAACGTGTTAACGCTGCGGTGCCACACCTGATACTCAAACGTAGTCTTAAGACGATAAGTAATAAGTACTCTAGCCTTCGAGTCATTTTAAGTGCCATTCCTAGCTAGGCCACCTGTTTAGTATTCCTGCCGAGGTAGTTAGAAATAACAAATAACATGGGTGATATGCAGCAACTGCTGCCTTACTTTACAAAACTGTCATGAAGTATTTATTAGCCGTAATGGCTCAATGTTAAATTAAGGAATCTGTCCATTTTGTGAATATGAACATTGTTGTATTATAGTTGTAAATTGTACATAACGAAGATTCGTGATATTTTGTAATAAAACCATGATTCGAACAATATCAGTGTCCTCTGGGAAGGGGTTGGAAAAGGTTGTCCCCGGGCTATACCAGATGATGCACTTTTTGTCGGCATTCATGGGGCTTCCCGTGGGAGAGACACGAGATTCGGGATTGTTGGCGAGAGCGCCAATGACGCAGAGGCGAGCAGGGCCGGGGCGCGTCGAACCGCCCTGCGCGTCAGAGTTGTGAGTGACATCCGCACCCATCAGGATGAGAGAGGGAGAGCGCGCTGGTCCATGTAGCGGAGCGTAAGAGTATGTACTATGTGTTCAGAAAGAATTGACCCTGCCTGAGTCGATACCCCGCGCTCCGGCGCGGCAGACAGTCGGGCGCAGGCCGGCGCAGGCTGCACTGTTGCCGACGTGCTCGGGGGCTCGGGGTCCGGGGGGGTTGCGGGGAGGGGGGC